TTATGCATAAAATGTAAAAGGTCAAGTGAAATTGAGAATGTCTTAAACATCCAAATTCTTTAAAAACAGACAAGGAAAATACAAACTTACTTGAACATATTGCATAAAAGAAATTGTCTTCCGCAACAACAAGCATATGACAACCTGGCAAGGAAGTAAGTTCACATAACAGATGTTCCAAAAATCTTTCCCGTGTAAGACATAGAAAGTTGTTGAAAGTTGAAACAAGGGGAAGGAAAACCACATATGCAGAAGATAATTTAGAACTAAAATATTATGAAAGTGATACCTTGCTGAAGTAGCCAGCCAATAGTGTGCTATGAGAAGGCTTGGGTTCTAGGAAGGAAAACAACAAGTTCATCAACTGCAAACAACCACATCAAGGAAATCTGTTATTGATCTATCATTTATAATGTAATAGGGTAAAGAAAGCAAGTTCTCCACCTCTTCATCCTCCACCAATGCTTTGAGAATTATATCAACTTCACAAGTAAAAATCTCACAAGCGATAAAAGGAAACCTGGGCAAGAATATATAAGAATAACCAAATTTAAAATTAGAGAGAGAGAGAGAAGGCACAAGGAATGACATCTGGAATATGCAACCAAAAATTACTTAAAACTTCGTTTCTTCTCAGCCTCTTCAGGAGCTTCTTCGACAATATATCTGATGAGCTGTTCAATCTGTGTTCTTTCTCTCAAGCTGTAAGGCAAGAAGGCAGGCACAACACTCATAAATTTACGTAATATGATAAACCTTCTTAGTAAAGTTCTCATATTTATCCATTCCAGTTTTTTTTTATCTGCCAACCCATTAAGGTTAATATTTATTATATGCTGCTGTGAGTACAAATTTAGAAGACTGACTAACAATATATCAGCAAATAAAAACTAGTAGAATGGATGGAATTACAATGCTACTGGTGACTAGTACAGCAAGTACTATCGAAGTCAAATATAATCAGAGTTACATGATCCCATAAATTAATTTCTCTGCATGTGTTAGCAGCCTATCAACCAAAAGAAAAGATATGCCAAGTATAGACCAGAAAATAGGAGAAAAAGAAAGATGATAAATAAAAATCAGAAGGAACGTTACAAGTTAATAAGTCGACTATTAAGTGCTTTGCATTCCTGAATTATTTCATCCTCATCTAGAAGCTCCTCTAATGTAAAATTTTCCTTATCCAAAATTGTCTCCACCTGCAACAAAAGAAAATGAAATGAGTGAGAAACACACATTTTCATTAAAACTCAAGTAAAGCTGGACCACTGTCATCTTTCTATTCATTGAACTTGGAGAATGTAATATAAAAGTGTCCTTGTATTACTGGATTCTAAATTCTCTGAAACCTCACACAAGGTATTCAAATGAACAATATTTTAAACCTCACCATTGGATCTCTCCAATCCTCTAAAAATCCTACTATTCTCCCCAAGCCAAAGCCCTCACAACACAGCAAAGAGCACAATTCTTCATTTCCGCAGTCTAGGAGCATTGTTTGTTACCAACCCAATGAATCCCAAAGAAGTCCCATCAACAATCCCAAACCGCCAAAATGAACTTCAGTTACCCAAAATATAATCCAAATCTCTCAATGCTTGATGACACAAAGAGCACCATTGCGAACCCAACATAAAGAAATAATGCTTCTGAAAATGATCCAAGAGGTTAACTTTCTCATGAAAACTCTGTCACACAAAGAATTTGACCTTTTTGGGAATCCTTACATTCCAAAGAGAGATGCAGAAGTTCTGGAGGGAGGAGAGGGGATACATAGCACATGGAAAAAATGAAATAGAATAGAAACCTCTTGAAGATTGAGGGGACCAAAAGCCAATACCCTTTCTCCCCAGACTTACCAAAGAGTCACCTATCAACAAAAGCAATGTCGCTACATAAGCAACTTTCCTATCCATCAAAAAGCCACAAAATGAAACCTTTTGTCTGCAAGATGGTACAAGCGAGGAAACACATAACAAGCTTCAGGCATCCTCCTTTGCAACTTGTAAGCTGCACAAGTAGAAATTGATTTCCCATGAGCTACAATTCATAGGAAAACTTTTGACTTGTTTTTCAGGATTTGGATTTCCAAATGGTCTTGTTGAAGAGGGTTTAAAAACTAAATGGGTCTGGCATTTTCATTCATTGTGACATAACATTATTGTGAGTAAATTTGATCCACTTTAGCAAAACCTTAAATGGGACTAAAGGCACCTTCCAAGTCTCCTTGGATAGGCATTGCAGGAGAGTTTCCTTTCATGTATCAATCATTTGTTGGTTGGTTGGGGATGGGAGGGTATATTTTTCTAGGATGTTAGGTGGTTGGAGGACAGCCCCTTCTGCTTTGTTTTTCCTCATTTATAACATTTGTCTACGATAAAAAAACTCTTGGTGGCTGACGTTTTGGCTCAGCTAGTCCCCACTTTGGGGTTTGGTCGTTCATTGTCTGAAACAGAAACGGAAATATCATTGCTCTTTTTTCTTCGTTGGGGGCGTTTCAGTGCTCTTCTGGGAGAAGGAACTTTCGTTTATGATGTCCTAGCCCTTTGGAGGGTTTTTCTCATCTTTCCTTCTTTCTTTGTTTGGTCAACCCTTCTTCCTTGAGAGATTTGGTGTTTGCCTCAATGTTGAGGTTCAGATTCGGAATTACCTTGAAACAATAGATATGTTTTTGGTTTATAATTTTATTCAACAATAACCCAATAGAATTTCCACTTCTCAAGTGCTCAAGTGGTTGCTTCTTTCTGGTAGGTTGAGTAATCGACTTGATAAATAAATAAATAAATAAATAACAACCGTCTTTTTCTTAGCTGCTGAAACATGTGAACAGAAACGAAGAAAAGGTTAATTGACTTTTCCTTTGGCGCCCTCTCACATGGAGTATGGTGCTTTGGAGGATTTTATTGGATACTTTCAAGTGTTTCCAATGGGATTACAGGTGCATTATACTTTCTTCTTCACGGTCATTTATTAAAAAAAAAAAAAAAAAAAAGGAATATGACAAATTACACTCCTACCAACTGTGAAATTCGCAAACAATCCATTATGCCTTGACAATGTAATTATGACTTCATCAATTATAAATTCCAAAGATAACAAAATCAAAAGGATGATAATAAGTTACACCAATCCTACGTCCCACCAGGAGCCGAAAGCATGAAAAAAAAAAAATATGAGCTGACGGGGGAGGGTAAGACCGGATCAAGTGGACGATAATGAAGTTGAAGAAGAAGGCAAACAGCGAGGTTGAAGACCACACATTGCAAATTTGATGGATTGAGCTATTAAATCAAATCCACGTTATCGAACTTCAATTTCCTCCCCATGATCCTCATTGAACCGCGCGTAAAATCTAGAATATTATCGATAAACATCTTCTACCACGAAAGGAAATGAAATTGAAACAATTCGCAGTACACAATCCACAGTACAGCAAATGCTACAGTCAAACAAAAAGGAAGGAGGATGATAAAACAAAAAAGAGACTCACAGGAGACGCTGTGGACAATCCTGCCATGCGCCAAAACATGGTGAATTGAGGGGGAAAGATTGCCAAGCAAAACTCAGATCTGCAAACCCAGAAACCGAACCGCCTGGACGACCCTCCGGGCGAGAACGCTCAAGAAAACACCTAGACCACAAAAAAAACAATGATCCAGAGTAGCGTCAACGAAACCCTAGAAGTTGAATCTGTAAGTGCATGGATTCGAAGGAGCAGAGCTGGATCGAAACGAGAGTTGGAGGAGCAAGGCAAGCATAGAATAAGATGAGAATTGAGGAGAAGCACAAATAATAACCTGAAATCGTGGGAATGTGATAGGATTTGATGAAAAAAATGTGCTTTTCTTTTCCCTTGGGTTTTTAGTCGACCGTACACATTTCATACTAATTAAGCTTTCACATTTTTCCTTTATCTGTATTTAAATTTTTGTTTCTATGAAAATAATAATAATAATAAATTTTAAATTATAACAAAAAAATAATGAACCATGCTTCGCTAATTAAAAAATTTAAAAAAATAGTGATCTTGATGTTTCCATTTACCCTACAATGAGCAAAGCATAATAATTTCTTGTTGATATTTTTGGCATTAAATGTCTTCCTTTCTTTATACACACAAAGCCCAACAAACTCAGATATTGACAAGGAACGAGTGGATAATTTCCAATAATTTTGGACGCTGTTTTATTTCTTTTATGCCTTTTCTTTTCTTTTCTTTTCTTTTATGCTGTTTTATTTGGACTAAGATAACATGATTCGTTATGCCAACTTAATTTTAATCAATATTTTAATTAATTGGTGTGATGAGAAAGTCTAACACATGGAGCTGTTAGTAGTTAGTTAATATGACTGACACTACTAGAGTTGCCATCCAAAATAGATAGTAAATCTCCTCGTCAAGTGAATATAAGCTCAGGAAAGATCGAAAGTCGGTTATTTGACTAGCCTGCTTTGTACAATTTATGAACGAGAAATTGAGGCGATTAGTTTAATAAATTGAAATTAACTATAAAAACAATGCTCAACTTGTGATTCTAACCTAGAATCATATGTCACAAAGTATGTCTTACTTATTTGACCGATTAAACGTATGGGTGTGTATTAATTTACTTGTAAAATTAACGAATTGAAATAAAGAAACTAACATTTGTCTCTCCAGCAGAAGGAGAGTGTAATATGTAAAACCTCAGTTAAATGAAAAACGTATAATCATAAATAAAAAAAAAAGACGTTAAAGTTATAATATTTATGACATTTTAAAAAGTCGGTACAAAAAAAGAAATGAAACTCAAGGGCTCATGCTAAATATGTAATGAATAAAATTTATTTTCAATGTGAAATGGATCTTATTGAATTATGCATCGTTAAATAATATAGAGGTTGGTTTATACATGAACATTAATTTATTTTAATGTTTTTTAAATATGCTCCGATATTATAAACTATAAAATAAAAAATTTAAAGAAGTTGGGCGACCCAAAATACTTGTTTGTGCCTTGACTTTCAGTGTTACTCAAACCCCTAATTTCCAAGCACTCGCAAAAGTTGCAAAATTTGCTTACCACCGCCATCTGGAGAACTCATTCTTCGATTCTGTTTCCATTTTGAAAATTCCGATGTTCTAAGAGACTGCAAGAAGGGAAGACAAGGCTACGCATACGATATGCTTGGTGGATTGTACGGAGACCTACCTCCGCCCTCTTCGGCGGAGGAAGATAAGCCCGCCAATTCTACCGTCTGGTCGAGCAGCACAAAAATGGCGCCACCGACTCTACGCAAGCCATCGTCCGTTTTCGCGCCACAGACTGTTCTCAGATCTCAAAGCAAAATCAAAGCTGCCAACTTGGCGCACTCGAAGGCTTCAGTGTCCGAGCCGGTGGAGCAGTCTCTGCCGATTCTGGCTGAGGCTATTACGCAACCGGCATTGGTGGCCGTGACGTCTTCGGTTGTAGAAGAGTATGATCCAGCGAGGCCGAATGACTACGAGGAGTATAGGGCGGAGAAGAACAGGAAGGCCAAGGAGGCTGAGATGAGAAAGGAGCTCGAGAGACGTAGACAAGAGGAGGAAGAGAGGGAGAAGAAGGAGCGAGAGGAGCGAGATAGAGAGTATTCCGATTCTAGGATAAATATTTCAGGCGAGGAAGCTTGGAGAAGGCGCGCGGCGAAGAGTGGGGCAATACCAAGATCGCCATCGCCACCAAATAGCGGAGACGGATTTACCATTGGAAAGTCGGAAACTGGCGGGTTGGGAGTTGGTGCTGGTGGGCAGATGACAGCGGCTCAAAGAATGATGGCTAAGATGGGGTGGAAAGAGGGGCAAGGGCTTGGGAAGCAAGAACAAGGGATCACCACCCCTCTGATGGCAAAAAAGACAGACCTGCGTGCTGGAGTAATCGTGAACGCTAATGATACGAAATCAGAGAAGAAGGTGAAGAGTGTCAACTTTAACGGACAACCTACTCGGGTTCTCCTGCTCCGAAACATGGTACGACGTTGTAGAATTCTGACATTTTGATGATTTGAAATGAATTTTAGGTAGAGGAGTTTGTTTTCGGTGCATTAGAATTTTAGTAGTTCTTTCCCATTTTCAGATTTCTATTAAACTTCAGAAATTCTTGGTTAGATAGGAGCAATCTAGACAGGTTTAACGTAACTGATCATATCATTCTCTCATAGTTGCAAATTCCATTATTAGCACGCGATTCTTCTGTTAATCCATCATTGAAATGCATGCACTTGAGAATTTGTTTGATTGTCCATATTTTGATGAAAGTTCGATTCCTAATCCTAACCTTGGTATCTTTAGCTGCTTGCCCATTGGTGTACGCTTATCCAGTTTTCATGTTAGACTACGAAGGTGAAAGGATTGTTAGTTAGACAGTATTGTTGCTGTCAGCGGCCAGATGGCATTTTTTATCAGCTAACTGCTCAACCAGTTCTTTATAAATTGTTGTTATCCGAAAGTTTTCTTTCCCTGTACTACCGAGTGCTAATCAGAAGGAATAAGATATGGACTAAAAAACCCTTAGTTGCAATTTGCATATAGAGTTCTTGTTTGGAAAATTTTAGAGGGAAAAACATTAAATCATAGATTATTAGTCTATCTGGAAACAAATTTAAAGGCAGAGAACGTACAAACCTTTACTCACGTGATTTTGTATAGAGATGCCTTCATCAATGTTACATCTTTTGCTAGATCATTTTAGGTTTTAAGTTTATTATACACCATATCAGAGATTAAAAATCTACCCCGAGGGAGGTGAGGGGGGTGGGGAGGAGGATGAAGGTCTATATAGCATGTTCTAGGGGTTGTATGAATATCAAGGCATACCATATTTGGTTTTCTGATTTTATTGCACTTGATTCATTGTTATATTAGGTTGACTACTTGAAATATATGGAAAGCCATTTTTATGGGTTTACCTCATTTCCTCGATTTGTTAGTTTCGGCATGGGACTAATATTTGAAGGTCAATTTTTCCCGTCAAATGCATTTATCTTGTCTCTACAATGTGCCGCTTACTCAAGATGTCTTTTTGGCCTGTCTTTCCTCTCCAATATGCATCATTGGGTTCTCTTCAATGATAGAGCTGCTAATGATTTGGCTCCTCTTCCATCTATTATCAAGGGCGTGAGTTTAATCCTTGGAATTTAGGCATCGGCCCAGTTCCACTGCTAGCAGATATTGTCCTCTTTGGGCTTCCCTTCAAGGGAAAACCCAAAGATGACAATATTTGCTAGCGGCGGATTTGGCCGTTACATCTGATCTGCTTCCTAGATCCTCTTGGTTACCTTTCCTGTAATTCATTTTTGCATCATTTACTTGCAACAATTGCAAGGTCTCCTCCCCTCTTGATACCAAGTTTTGAAAGTTCAACACTTCAGAGAGGTTTAAGATTTCTCTCTTGGCTTGTCTCTTTTGGTTGTGGCCCATGTAGATGTGTTTTATGCACTCGGGTATTGGAGGATTTGAGACGTATTCTTTCGTCAAGTATGCTCTATTTAGCTTCTTGCTGGCTTTGCACTTCCCGTGGAGTTTTTTGTTGAACTTTGTTCCTTCTTTTACTTTCTTGATGAAAAATGAGTTCCTTGTTAAAAAAAGAAAAAAAAAAAAAAATTATGCGTTTATGATGGTGGAGATCTTCAGCATCGTTTATTTAAACTGAGGAAAAGTTCTTCAGTTGGTTTATCTCTTTCTATCTCTCATTGGAGTTAATGGTTTGAGAAGGGGATGAGGGTTCATAACCCAGGGGAGAAAGTTGACAATTTCCTGTGGGGGAAGTGAGGGAGAAATTCTTAGCCGTTTAGCTAACTGGAATATTGCTACTGGCCCCTAGAAGATGGAAGGTTGGAATTAGGCAACTTAAGGAAGAGAAGTGAGGCAATACTACAGAGAAGCTCTGGAGATATGCTAAAGAAAGTTATGAGATGTGCAGTAAGCTGGTTATGAACAAATATGGACGTGAAGAAGGAAGAAAATAGGAAGTTTCCTCTAGAAATGAAATTTGGTTGTTTTCAAAGCCCTTCGTGGTGACCCTATCAATTTCTGAGCAAAAAAGCTGGGAAGCTTAGAAGGAACTTCTCTCTAGGCTGATGTTACGAAGCCATTGTTTACGGATTATGAACTCAAAGAAATTGAATATTATTAGGAATAGATTAGTTCAAAGAAATAGGGGTTAGGGCTTGGAGTTGGGATCTATCAGAACTGCGTAATTCTTGTTCTAAACCATGCTTCCGTCTGTAATGAACTAAGAATGTTTTTTTTTCTCTGTCTTTACGTTCTTCAATTGACTCACTCCTCAGTTTCTCTCTGTCTCTCTGTCTTTACGTTTTTCTCTGTCTTTTCTATGTTCTATTTCGTAAACCTCCATTTTGGATACGAGTTTAATACAGCTTATTTATTTGATCATAGAGGTCGTCTGAACATCTTATGTGAGAATATTTATTTGTGAGAAAGACCAGTATTTGTAAATAGCATGTGGAGTTTCCTGACAAATCTATGACGGATCTTGTAAATATAAAAGAAAAAACAATATATATATTTCCAATTATTACTTGCTCTAAGGGTCTTGTTATACATGGCTGAACCTCTCCTTCCCTCACCTCCCTCCGAATTGTGAATCTAGGTTATGGTTTAATGTCATTAAATAATTTAGGGTTATAGTGGGTTAATCTTGATATCATAAAAAATGCCATTGAACAATTTAGATTAGTGGGTTAATCTTAAAAAAATGTTTAATCCTTCATACACAAGGCCTATCTATACATGCTATACATGAGTGTAGCATGTATCAGTAAGGCCTGCGAACAATTTAATCCTTGAGGATATCTAAATGATTGAGCTTGATGATTGAAGCATTTTTTTATATTTATACTATAGAAAGGATTGCATTTTTCTTCAGACGTCTAAAGGATATAATTTGTGATTTTTATCTTGAAGGTGGGCCCCGGTGAGGTAGATGATGAGCTAGAAGAGGAAGTAGGATCCGAGTGTGCGAAGTACGGAACAGTAACGAGAGTTCTGATATTTGAGATCACAGAACCCAATTTTCCAGTGGAAGAGGCTGTTCGAATTTTTGTGCAGTTTGAAAGATCAGAAGAAACGACTAAGGCTTTGGTTGATCTTGGAGGTCGTTACTTCGGGGGAAGAGTGGTTCAAGCTACATTTTATGATGAGGAAAGGTTCAGTAAGAATGAATTAGCTCCAATGCCAGGAGAAATCCCTGGATTTACATGAATTCCGATTGGATTGGGATTGGATTGTGCTATAACTTTCCTGTTGTAAGCACGTGATGTTGTGGACTCATTAGTTTCTTTGCAGTCATTATGAGAATCTCTCTTTTTACTTGTGACAGACTGAATGATGGCGCACTTGGTAAGCCACATTAACCATCCAATATAAACCCCTTCGATAAATTCATTTGTCTGTCATAGAACCTTTTTTTTTTCTATGCATGCTTCTGTCTCTTAATAGAAGCTTTTGCCAATTTTATCTTATTTGCTTTCTTCCAAATTCAATTATGTCTTGACTGAACAGTTTCAACTAAGATTGTAATTTGATTTCATTAGTAAAATTGAGAGATTAACAGCAACCCTATTTGCTACATGTACAGCACACCGATGACCATGGGCGTTCTTTCGGGCTGCAAGCGGATTATCATTGGGCTTTTACGGTAATTTTAGGTTGAGACTCGTCGTGTTTTTTAATTATTAAAAAATGAAAAACCAGAAGTTATCTTGTGCTTAAACTCTCAAGCTTTCTTAATGTGTGTTGGATTATGGGTGAAATTATTGATTGGTTCTTATGTTATTTGAGAAATATTATGAGTATAAGTTTATATAATTTCTTCTTTGTTGGGGTAAATTTTAAATAGAAGTGAGATAATTTCTGACATCTTAACTCCTTGCTTTATTAATTCAATCCTTTTAAAACTTGAAATCAAACTGCCTGTTTTACTGAACTGAGAAGAAGATGAAGAAACAAACACGGTAATTATTACATCTGTTAAAATAGGTTGGACCAGTCAATGGTGAATTAAATGGGGGAAGGGGTTGATTTGAAAAACCCTATGGATTATAGAGTCTAAGCAACATGATAAGGTCTAGTCTCCATCCCTAAACTCGAACAAAATCTTACAACGGCTGCAACACAAAATCTTAAAACAGCAGCAATTCCACAGAAAAACTACATGGATTGCAAACCCTAGCCCTCTCCCCTAGGGTTTACAAAAGTTCAGATTCATAGATTCTCTCTCTCCCCACCACACTTCTTTATTGAATTTTGATGCTTTCTTTGCACTTTAATTAATGCCTTTCCCTTTGGGGCTGGCTGGGCCGCGCTAGGAGCGCTATTGAAGGGAAAGCTGCCCTTGAAAATGGTGTCCTTGGAATACAACCAAACTATACTTTCGGAAGTTCCCACTCCCTTCCCAACACTTTAACTCAATTTCTCTCTTTACCCAAAGGCCACTTCTGCGTTAACCTGCTCAACTATTTGTAACTTCACAACTTGGCTTCATTTTCAGAAGCCTTATCAAGCATCATTTTAAAAATCACAAGGAGTTTATCATCATTAAAGATGATTTTTTATATAAAGACAAAGCCATAGATATATACTTTGTAGTCCCATAAATTTCACTTCAAAAAATTTGAATACAATCATAATTTCCCTTCGAACAAATCAATAAGCATACCCAAATGGGGAACAAAAAGGGTTAAGTTCTGAGACAAAGCATGGCATGGGACTGGGCATTAGAGGCGAATCAATGGCTGTAGACCAAGTCTGCACCAAAAACATAGTTAATTTAAATAATTTACATTAGTTTTTTTTGGTGGGAAAAACTGCGAAAGAGACTGGCAGCAGTCTCGAAATTACAGTTCACAGTACCTTTGTACACATCCTTCCCCCTCCATCTTTTACTGTATCAGAAAAAGAGTGACAAACATTTTTAAAATATCATTGAAATAATTACACATTAAAAATATTAATAATTTATTTCTGGGAATACCCAATGAGAGGTTGGCAAAAACCATTCCATCAAAAAATGTATTAGAAAAAAGTAGAACTACAAAGAGAAAGTAATATGAAAAGTTAAAGTGTGATTAGACCTTCCAAAATCCCATCCTTGTTTGGTTAGAGAAAAAATGGAAAGGAATGGTGGGAAAAACCAAAACAGGAAGATCCTTGTCTTGTCTGCTCTGTTTCAAAGATCATCATTATAGGTAGAATGGACTGATTTTACACCCACCGCCCACTGTCAAAATAGCGTGTAGTTATGGCTTAGGGAATGGAAGAGGGAGTTCTGCTTAGCTCGCCTAGGTGTATCTTCTTACCATAAATGAAGATTGATGCTCAACCCCTTCCTGCTTCTTGCCCTCCTCATTAATAAGCTGCTGTTAAAGACTGTTGTGTTTGTTAAGCCTTGAACTGCTCATTACTCAACTCTTTTACTTGTTTTGGTGCAGTGGCTGTGGCTGGTGCTTCCACCTTTGATTTACTCCCACCACAACCTAAATAACCCTCCTGTCATGAAACTGCCTTTTCCTCTGCAACAATTTTCTTTTTACTGTCATCTGTCTAAAAGTTTCAGTTAGGTTGAAACCTTTAAAAGTTTTAGTTAGGTTGAAACCTTTAGTGCTTTCAACAACCAAGACCATCTAACTGTCCATAATACATAATATTTTCTTTATAAAAAAAACATGCCCTACGACGCTTTGGATGTCAAGGAAGTAGTATTATGAATATGGGTAGTGTTATAAAAACGTTTTGTGGGATCCGGCTTCAATTAAAGAGCAAAATGAAACATTGAAAGAAAGCCCGAAAGAAAAACTTTGAGGATGGGAAAACTTCTTCCTAACAAACATTTTAAAATCTTAGGAGAAAATCCAAAGAGGATAATATTTACTAGCAATAAACTAAAATCGTTACAGCGTAGCCTTTTGAAGCTAAATTATCAACTCCAAAACGATAAATGATACTTCAGTGATAACCTCACATAGCATTGAAGTGTTCATGAAACTAACTTTAAGTAATGGTGTTAAGTTCGTAGCAAAGGGTCCAAGTAGCTAAGACCATAGTCAAGAAGTCCTGCAGTAAAAGAAATACATCATGTCTAGGTTGGAATTACAATTCCACTAATTGATACAGTTAACCAGTCATGTGCTTCTTCTCCATCACACAAAGGACCAGTTTATGAACATGAAAGCTAGACAGTGATTGGAATCATCATCATTTAGAACCTTCCAGGCAATGGCTTGCTCGTAAGAAATGGGACGGCCCATACTCGATATGCAAATACCAGATGGAAGATTTGTGAATCCCTGAGACGTAAGGAACAAAAATATATAAGATAGTCTTGATATGCCTATATTATTCAGGACAGAATTGATCATGATTAATCATATCAAGTTCTTAGTTTATACCTGTTGCATTATTTTGGGGAACTCAGTGCAGAGAATCTTCCGACCTGCCTCATCCAGAATTTTGTCGAGCATTATATCTTGCAGGCCAACAAGAGTGGTTTCAAGCATGTCCAAACCAGCCTGGTTAGCGAAGGTGAACACAGCAGATGCCTGCAATTAAGTTTTTCAAAATCATGTCAGCTTTCCGGAGCAGTCAAGTGACTTGTCATATAATTCGGTAGGAAAGTTGATTACGTTGGTTTTTACAGAGCAACACATGATTGCATCGGAGTGGTGCCACAGCAGCTTCAACATGGCATCCCCCCCAGACTGAGAATCAGCTTGAAGGAGCTCAGATCCAACATGGATCCTGAAACACGAAACTGTTGGTAAGTAAAGCTGTTGGGGGCAGGGGAGTTCATACATTGTTCAGCAGTTATATGAGCATTTCCATGGCTCTTTTCATGTACTTAAAACTATACATGAAGAAAACAAGCCAAATTTTCGGAGCTACGAAAAATTACAGTGCCAAGAACACTAAGGGATTACATAGTATATACCTGTAACTTCGGCAAATCCATCGAGCCAAAGTGAGAGCTTCAGGAGAACCAGGAAGGGGCTTTAGTCCCATATTGGAACTCAACCGAGATGGGGCAATGGCCATGGAAACCCTTTGAACGGACCCGACAACACTACGGACATATTGTCGGGCCATTGCAGCCACATTTTCCTGCAAGTGATTCTCAAAAGTGAACTGGAAAGCGATGGTCAAGACTGAACGAAGATTGTAGCTGCTCAAATCAGTTTGACCAGCAGAACGTGCAGCATTGGCACCAACTTCAAGAGTAGAGGCCAAATCCAATGTTCGAGCAGCAGTAGGATCATCCTGCAATGGATGAAAAACAGAGGTTATTCTTTTTCAAAAGAATGGGAAGTCCAAGACAGTAATTCAATGCAGAGACGAACTGTTTTCGGATCCAGTGGGATGACACGAAATCCTGACGGAAGTAATGGAGCATCATCCGCAAAGGATTCATCTATAGGCGCAAACACAAGCTGAGCACAAGCTCCAACTGCATTTTCATCAACCCCACTACAGAGCTGCCACAAAAAGGTTGAGAAAACATATAATCAAGAGGCAAAAAAATAAACGTACATTGGATAAGACGATGCAAATTAAACGTAGCAAACTCACCTGCAATAAGTACATATCTCGGCCAGCCAAAGCAACGTCATCGGGAGAGAATGCAAGGCCTTCCAGCCGAACCACCTCCAAAAACTGCACAAAGACATTGTCATATTTACAGTACAAGGAAGAGACTGAAGGAATTTCTTTGAAACATAGAAATAGTTACCTCCTCATGCTCCACAGTAGAAGCAAGAGGCAATATAACCTGGCTGCTAGGGAAGCCACCAGGCCTTGCACATGGAACAGCATATGGACTGGCTTTTAAACTTGCGGCACAGTAGGCATCAACTCCATAATCAGCCCATTCAGACCGATGCTCTCTCAGGAATCGAACAAGCAAAGCAGGGGGCACGTCCTGGAGATGACAAGTAAACAAGTTAAGATTGAAACCAAGTATATCAATCATTCAGATGCAAAACGTCTAGACGAAATATTCACCTGAAGTAACATCGACGCTTTTGCACACATCACTCCTCCACCATAAGAGGGATACATTGATGTGTTATACTGGGATCCGGGAAACATATTTGCTGATGAATTTATGACAATTGTCACATCCTCCAAACCGTCACTGCCCATAGGCGACCAACCATCATCAGCAAACCCATTAACAGCGTCGTTGAAACCCCTACAGACCATTTCCAGGTATGATTAGAATAAGAAAGAGGTATCAATGACAATCATAAAACTTCATTAGTTATCAGGCTCTCCACAGTAAACTACCTGCAAAGTTTTTGACTGAATGTCCGCAGTACAGCGGGTTGACGTCCACCAGTGTATTGAATCTCTCCATTAGTCTCTTGAGAAATTTGTCTAACGTGACGCAATGCCTGAAGAACAAATTCGACCGATACAGTAAGAACAGAACAGATATGATTTACTTGTCAAGAGAATGGAACCTCTGCAACAATTCTTACAGCAGTTGTCATTTTCTGAGCAAGGATCTTGGATGACTCGTAAAGTGGCCTAAGAACTTCAGGGACACTCCAAACCTATAAATGGAATGAAAGATGAAAAAAAAAATGCACAAACAATCAAGAAATACAATGCTAAGATACTCAAAGTTGAAAGCTCACATCCAAATCAATGTGATCGACAATGTGAATAATCGATCCATCACCCTCGCACGCTCGTATTAAGTAGCCACTAGGAAGCATCTCAGCTCTAACAAAAGTAGATGGCGGAGGCCCTGCTGGGCCACCAGTAGAAGAAGTCAATGACCTCTCACAAACCTGCAACTCATTCCAAAGAAAAAGCTGAAA